TTTAATCATTATCCAAAATGCAAACAGCTGTTGTTTGTTTGAGCTTTCATAGTTTAACCGTCAACTAGAATAGTAATGTAAACACAGCCATAATAAATGTAAACACAACTATGAACATAATTTAGTGTAAATACGGCCTAAATCCTTAAATCAAGGCTGCATTAGCCCAGCTGTTGGTACAAATAAATGTCAAAAATGTTGTGTAATTTAAAATAAACAAAATAAAAAACAGAATTATAAATAAAAATTTCCAAAATTTGAAGAGTTTGTTTGGCAATACATTTATTAACTATTTCTGGATGACTTGTGTAAAAAAATCTTATGAGTCGGTTTGTTTTTGCAAATTATTTTTGAGATATCAGGGAACTATAACTGTTGTTTTTTGTAGAAATTCGCCTATGATGAGTACCCATCCCTTAACTGGAAAATTGTATTTGAAATAATTACCAAATATGAATTTTATGTTGTTCTCTTAAGTGATCATAATCTGAACATGCAAAATAATTTAATGGGACCAGTTGCAAGACCATAAAACGGGGCATATCGTATATTTATTTTATATTTTTTTGTTGTTCGCCTCAATATATGTTACCATGATACAATAATACAAGGTTTGACAACTTGAGATGAATAAAATGCAACTATGTAGGTAGTGGCTTTTTCTGTCAAATATAATATAAATATACGCAAAAGGTTGTTGAATTTATGTAACATTTATCTTACATACTTACTTAACAGGCTTGTTACAGAACGGTTGTTCCATAAGCCGACCTTAAAAAAGATTTCGAAGCGCGTCGGACGTGTGCGCATCTCATTTAATTTGAAAGACCATGTTCCGAGATGTTGTCTTCCACTTGATCTTTTCATCATTGGATCGCTTTTATATTCCTTTTGAGTGGGGGAATCCTCATCCATTCTCACAACATGATCTAGCCAACGTAATCGCGATGTCCGTTCGACGACGATATTCACTGTCGACGCAGATCGGCCCATAGATCTTCCGGAGAATTTTTCTTTTAAACACTTTAAAAGCTGCCTCATCTCCTTGGTATATAAAATCGTTCAACTCCTTCAGAACCATCCAAGGTATATAAAATCGTTGGATGGTTGTATACAATCTATACCGTCACCTCTCATTGATTTAATTGTCAACTACATTGTATACATGTCAAATAAATCCTCATCAAGTAGGTTAACACTGTAAAAAATTCTAATGTACAAGCGGTTTAAGACAAAATATTAAACGACTGCATTATGAGGATTTATTTGACATATATGCAAAGGAATTGACATTTGAAACCCACTGGGTTAACGAAATCTGGTTAAATGTAAACGTACTATTACATTGGAAATTTCTGTCTTTCAGAGACACAGGAATATCAAATAAAGGATTCTTAGTTTGGAAAATTAACTTATAGCTTGTATATCGCATAGCAAATGAGGCCAGAGCTAAAACCTATATTGAATTGCGAAGCTTTAAAATAAAAACAAAATTAAGTGCTCGAAATCTAAATATATACGCGAATAATTTTCTAAAATTACCTATATTTGTTTAAGATTATTTTTCATATATTTATAACCGATTTCCTAATCTAATCCCTAATTTCTTTCCTTTCCAAAGATCTAATAGTTCAGGAAGCTTTAGAACCCTGGCGTAAAGAACTTCAGGCATATAGCAACCGAGTTGTAGGTTCATCTCGTGTCTATTTACAACAAAAGGAATGTGCCTCTGGTGAATGTAATTTGGGAAATTTCTTTACCGATGCAATGTTACACGCTGTAAGATATGAAATAAATTTAAGGTTGTCTTTAGGGAAAAACACATAATAGGACTTCAGGCTTGGCATATTAATTTGGCATTGTTAATGTTAAATAATAAAAAAATAATGTTGTCCAAAAAATATTTTACTGTGATAATCCATTATATAAATTACATTTAATACAATGCAACTTATAGCCATGACTGAAATCCTCGTATGTGTTTCCTCATTAATGTCTAAATTATATCACAGTTTGGTTTTAGTAATTCATCATTTACTTGCGGAAGAAATCACAATTTGTCATTAAGTACGTAAAATGTCAATATAATACTCATCGAAGTTTTCTGTGAAGATTTAAAAGCGTTATTTGTTTGTGGTATGGGAAATTTCTGTTCTGTTTTCTGTTTTTGTTGTCTAAAAATCACATAGTGTGTGTCCATTAACTATGTTTGTGTATATACGCCAACATTTGAAATGTGTTACGGCGTATTTACACCATCTGGATTAAATGTGTTCACATGACATGATATGTCAAAAAGGAATATTTCTAATTTGTTTTTCGCATATTGTGTTTGTGAATTTTTTTCCTATGTTTGAAAGGCTTTAAGGCGTATTTACACCATCAAATTGTGCTCACATGCCATGTTTACATTTATTATGGCTGTTTTCACATTCCTATTCCTATTAATTTGTAGTTTCAATAGTTTCTAGGTGAACAGTCATATGGAAGTTCAAATTGGAGTAATATTACAATTGCATTAACAACGCAGGGCAATTTTCGCGTGCCCCTAAGTCCTGGGAGTAAGTACAAAATTTATTACCTTATTGAATTGAAAATATGTACTAAAATATATAATGTCCACATTTCAGATATCACATATAATCAACTATTTACCATGTGTCCCTATGATAATGCCCTCTATGCACTTACCCTGCCGGGTGCCATTATACGAGAGCTACTAGAAGATTCCATAGCACCATTTACAGCGACGAAAAAATCATCATCAAGATTTTTACAAGTTTCCGGATTAAAAATCAAATACAATATAACCCAACCAGTGGGTCAAAGAGTACAAGAACTGAAAGTGTTTTGTACTGAATGCAAAATTCCGAAATATATGGAATTTGATGTGAAGAAAGATTATCGTGTTGTGGTAATGGAATATTTGGCAAATGGTAAAAATGGTTTTAGCCTAATTAGTGAAAATGCCAAAGATTTGAGGTGAGTTGTTTGGAATGAAATATATATATTTTTTTAAATTATGTGGCTAATTTTTTTTTCTAATTGTAGAAGAGGTATTGGGGACTTGGAGGCCTTCATAAAATATATGGAAAACAAAGAACCAATTGTGGCTGGTATCGAAGGACGAATTCAAATTGTGAATTAATTTAATTATAAAATATATTGACTGTTAAAATATACAAAAAAAAAAAAAAACAAAAAATTCGAAAATTGTTGTTTTGTTTTATTTATTTTGAGAATATAGTCAGTACCATGACACAATAAATAGCGCAGCTGACTATCCGATTAACTGTCAAAGTTCATACTACGGCACCATGGTATAATAATAGAAGGTAACAGCAAGTGTTGTTCTACAACAACGTCAAAGTGTCAACGTTATTTGACAGAAAAATGTAAACAAAGAAACAAATTAGATTTATTTTTAAAATTTAATATTTTCGAATACTCAAAACAAAATTGAAAAACATGAATGAAAAATCTATCAAATTTATAGATAGATTATATATTGCCACTTATATATGTAACACATATAAAATTGCTGCGAAATGCGAGTTATTCCATGAAGAAAGATTTGCTTCCTCAAACTTTCCCAACAGGCAGATTGAGTAAATTGAATACGATAGGACATTTAATAAAGAACAATTTCGAATTGTATGCGTTCCCAATTTTCCTGTTGGGTGATTTTTAAAAACATAGTTTGTCATATTCATATTGACACTAGTATTACGTTGGAATCAAATCAACTGAGTTTTGCTGTTACCTTTTATAATTGTACACAATGAATAGATAGTCCATTTAGCATAGCTGATGCCTTGATTAACTGTCAAAGTGGGTAATTTCCACTTGAATTCGATGTGCAGTGTTGCCAACCATGTGAAATATTATATTGAAAAAAGACAAAAACAAAGGTTTTTGTTTTGATACAACACCTTATTATTGCATCATGGTGTATACCAATAATCATCAGCTGACTGTCATTTATGAATGTAAATGTACGTTTATGACGTGTTTAGACTATAGCTTTTAGTGTGATAATGTGAATTTATTTAATTGCTAAATCAAGTTGAATTTACCTCGATTTACCATACAAAATTAAATTAACTCAATATTTCGATTTGTCTGAAATCCTACACTAAATCGAGATAAAAATGCATCACTTCTCCTAAACGTACTATAATGGCAACCCTTTATTTTGTCATTTGTTTACGTTAAAATTCAAAACAACAAAAATGCAACAATTAATTTTTATGTTTGTTTATGATATTTTAAAACACAATATGTTTTTATGATTTCTTACCAAATGGAGAGCAAATTTTATTGGCATTATGAAAATTTTTACCAACAAACATTGTTACAGAAGTTATGAAACCGGGGAAATGTGTTTGAATACGTAAACAAATAACAGCTGATTGTCAACTTTATATACCATTTTAAATAATAGTGTAAACAGTTAGGATTTAATACCTCGATTTAGAAGGCGTCTTTATTTGTGTATGATAAATCATGAGATGAAATCCTAAATCAAAATAATGTTCACTCGATCTGGACTGTCAATTCCATGCCGTATAAGTCAAACATAATCCATTGAGTTTGTAAACAGGATTAAAGTGACGTATACGCTATGGAATTGACATTGGAAATCGAATGGATTTAGTAGTCTAAACGCGCTCTAAGTGTATATGCGTTTTTACACTGCTAGAGTTTACAAAAAAAAGAAACACTTGCAACTTTTGTTACATCCAAAAAGATTTACAAATCCAGTGTTGTATTTCTCTAGAATAGTGATTTCGATCTTGGCATTTACATTATAAGTTATTGCCGCGTGATTATTTACTTAACATATATGAAAATGACAATTTAGATCTACTGGATTTAATAAATCCAGTCCAATGTAAACGTACTATAGAAATTAAGCGAGATATGAGATGATGTATTGAAAATACAAAAGCATTGATCACATGACTATTTCTAAATTAATTTTTATGCTCTGATTTCAGCTAAAGATGTCATCGAAGCCATGAAGCCCTGGAAGTTATTACTCGACGAACAAATTGTACAAATTATAGGCGAAACAAAAGTGGATCTTGCGAAAAGCGATTGTGATAGAACGGAATGTAATATTGGTAATTTTTTTGCCGATGCCGCTGTATACGCTTTTACCAAATTAACACCCTACAATGAAATATATTGGTCCCAGGCATCAATTGCACTAATAAATACAGGTGCCATAAGAGTGCCACTCTCCAAAGGAAGTATGTAATAGCGTGTTTAAATCCACTCGATTTCAAACGTCAAACGTCCATAGCGTATATGTCAACTAAATCCTGTTAACAAATCCATCGGATTGTATTTGACGTATAAGCTATGAAATTGACATTTGAGATCGAGTGGATTTCGTAAATCGAAAACACACTTTTACATGAGTTACTTTTTATCCTCAATATCCAAATTTATTTCCTCTTAGATCTTACCTATGGCCATTTATCCACAATGTCACCATTTGAAAATAAAATGACAGCCTTCATGCTACCAGGAGCGGAACTATTAAATGCCTTGGAATTTAGTTTAAGGGAACTGAATTTGAATGAAGGAAAAATAACATCTAGTATTTTCCTCCAAGTATCTGGTATGAAAATTACCTATAATATTACCAAACCCTTTGGCGAAAGAGTACAGAAAATTAAAGTCCTTTGTCAGGATTGTAAGGTGCCCAAATATGAGCCTTTAGTGGCGGATCGAGAATATCGTATTGTAACGTCAGATTTTATTGCCGAAGGTGGCGGAGGATTTACAATGTTTCGTGATTATGGGAAAGATTTTCAGTGAGTAAATATATTTTTGATTAATATAATAAAAAATTAATAAATATAAATATATTTAATTGTGTATATTGTTTCAGAAAAGAGTTGACAGATCTAGAAGCTGTCTGTGATTATGTCAATGACAATAGCCCAATTACTACAGGTTTGGAAGGTAGAATCAAAATTGTTTATTAGTAATTAATTGAATACATAAAAAAGTTTTGTTTGTTATTGTATTTTTCTTGTTAAATTTTACTAAGTATTAACGTAACTAAAGAGTATTAAGAAGATGTATGTACAAATGCCAAGGGAACAACTTTTTTTTATAGAGTAAACAATTTTTAAAACAAATATAATGTAATTTTATTACTTTAAATATTTTTATTTGGTTTGGAAAAATAAAATTTACGAACATTATCTAAAAAATGGCAATTTTGTTAGGTTATGGACCGTTATTACATTCTGGAATATAGGTAATGGTGTTTTTACACTGAATGTACTGTCACTTTATTTACATATGCAACTCGAACTCGTCGTGTGAAACATACGAAAATTTCAATGTGTCAAAATGATATGTAATTACATACATATGTTCTTTTCCGAATAGGACACGCTCCATTTTCGTATGTGAAACATAAGGAAAGAAACACATTGTTGGAAGAAAATATATCTATTGCAAGTCAAAGAAAAGAATGAAAAGGCAAAAATTATAAATTGTGGTTTAAAAGAAAATATAAAGGTTTTGTATAGGTTATGTCATATGAAAAATACATATGCTGGTTTGAACGAAAAAACTAAAAGTCTTGTGTACGCAGCTAATTTTGACACACATAAGGAGTTACATATGGACGGAAAAAGTGACAGTACATATGTAAAATACATATCGTGTAAAATCACCATAAGCTTTATTACTATTTTTGTTAACAAGTGTGAGTGTGCGTATGTATAAACAAATGCCAGCTGACAATTTATTTTCAGGATTTCTGAAATCTACATCATATAATGGTACGTTTAGATTTACGAAATCCACTCGATCTCAAATGTCAATTTCATTGCGTATACGTCAAATATAATACACTGGATTTGTGAACACGATTAAGGTGACGTATACGCTATGGAATTGACGTTTGAGATCGAGTGGATTTAGTAGTGTAAACATAGTCTTATTCTGGACATCAATTCACCGTGAATTTGTTCGCTCTTCACTTTAACGTTGTTCTGAATCAAGTTCGAAAGCAAAAAAAAAAAAATCTGCTTTGGGGGATTACATGGAGTGGGAGAATGTGATGATAGTTTGTGCGAAAATGTTCGCTAAAAAATGTAAAGGGAGCTGACTACAAAAATATTAGTATTAAATATTTGTATGAAAAATATCTACACAATACATATTCTACGACGATTTTAAATATTATTATTAATTGTATGCAAACGTTGGAAATCCTATTGGTAACGATGCATGCTCAACAAAATATTGCCACGGAATATAAAAGCCGAGTTTTATGCTATTGGGAGGCGAAAAAAGGCATTTTGTGTAATTTAGGGAGATAAAATATCGAAATTAAATAAAAAGGCACATTAACTGCGTTGTGTCTTTGACATCGTTCAATGCGGTTTATGTCTTTTGCAATTTGTTGTAGTTGTTGCACCAAATTGCACCAAAACAATAAACAGCTGTTTCGCATGCCAGAATAAGCCTGAATGCGTACGAACACTTTTTGTGGTAGCAAATGTTTGTCAAACGGCATTTACATAAGAACTATTTGCCGGGTTAACATCTTCTATGAGGATTTATTTGACATATAGCTAACGCACATTGGGTATGTTCTGGAACACACGGCCTCTTTTTTACACTTCACCTCAGACGTTACCTCCTGTTCTGCATCTCGCGTGAATTGAAATTTTCGAACTGTGTCAAAAATAAACGTCAACATGGTACTTTGCAGAAATAGTGTTGTCATACAATATAAACTGTATTCTTTTTTTATTTATTTTATTATTCGCAACATAAAATATGTGTATGAAAGACTCTGTAATATAATTAATTTGTTGATTGGTTTAAGCGGAACATTTGGTAACCCTATCTTCCTTGGCTTTACTTCAAATCAGCTGTATGTGTCAAGCGAGCAATTCAGTTGAAGAAAGTACAAGACAAACCTTAGTATCCAATTAAAATTTGCTTTTAATGGCGTTTCATGTAAATTTTTAAATATCATCATGTCCCTTTTTTATTAAAAAAAAAACATTTATTTTATATAGAAAAACATGAATACACCCGACTCTCACTATGAAAATGTAAGTTTAAAGAACTCGCTTCAAACGGGTGTAAAGTGTGTTACAGAACAGCTCGGCGTGTGTTCAATACACTTCTACCGTTGAAGTGAATGCCAGAACATGTCCGAATAGTGCCATGATGAAATTAATCGTTTTGTTACGTACAGAGATTTTTAAAATCCTCTCTTACACTGCTTTTATGTATGTATAATTAAAACAAAAATTCTATAAAACTATAAATACGTCAATTTATTTGTTTCATTTTATATAATTTGTGTTTTTAACTGTGTTTTTTATCTTGTGTGAACACAACATTGATATATTTTTTCTGCTTTCGCCAATGTTCATGTGCACCAATAACTAACGTCAATTAATTGCCTTACTACAAGCTTTTGCTACGTTACGTTGTCCACTAATTTCACTATTAAAAACTGTTATCAGTTTGCCTCGCCTCAATGCCGACAAACAGCAACACATTTCCGCCGTTAATGAGAGCGGCGCCAACGGACAAATAAAAAAACAGTTGCTGTCGTGCCATTGAATTGAAAACACGCGAGAATTATTATTATTGCAAGCACAATCTTGTTTCAAATACAATTTTACATAGCTACTGTCGGCGGCGGCGTTGACTTAGTGTTTGAGGCAACTCCACACAAACAACATTGGTGACCTCTTAAAGTAAAGAAATAAAAGAAGAACTTCCCCAAAAGGCTGCTGCTGCCCTAACACTTGCCAATTGGTAGCCTTTTGGTTGGTTGTCAGTGCTTCAAAAGAAAAAAAGGTATTTGTGAGGAGGTGTGGAAAGTGTTATCATATGGTTACGGGTTCTAGGGATTTGCCATTGATAAGAGCCTATGGTGCATTAACGAATTGTCAATTGTAGCGGTTTCGGTGTGGCAAAATTTTTGCAAATTGAAAATAAAAAGGGGGAAGTTACGTGTACGGCAACGTCAAAAGAAAGTTGTGCGAAAATAAAGTGTTTTTGCAAACGTGTGTGAGAAAAAAAAACAACAAAAACAAATCTTCCCAAAAAAAAAGATAACAAATTTAACCAATAAAGGTCCCCCGCTCGAGAAAGAAGATAATAATATAGATAATAAAGTGTGTGTGTTTATTGCTGCCACTGTTTTTTCTTCTTCTATCTGTCTTAAAGAGAGGCAGAGAGAGTGAATGACAAATTTGACAGCGGTATATCCTCTGCTCTAATAACTTTGCAGTCGCAGAGCTGCCAAATGGGAGCTGGCTCTCTACCAAAGAAATATGAAAATTTAAACGAAGAAGAAGAAGAGGCGTTTTGAAATTGTGTATTTTGTGTGTTAAATTTGTTTTTTGTTTTTGTTCGGTTCAGAAATGCAGTGCGATAACATTGTAATTGACAACAAGTCATAACAGAAGAAAACAAACAAAAAATACCAACAACAACAACATAAAGTGGTTCAAAGTACCAATGCAAATGCATCAACAATAACAACAAACAAAATAAACATTGCAGTGCAGTGAAAAAGCTAAGAACAGCAGATAAAAGAACGAACACCATCAGCTAACAAACAAACAAAAAACGACGGATGGACAGAGAAAATACGCAACTGTAAATTTGTATGTATTTGTGGTCATATGAGTGTGTTTTTGCTTGGTTTTGCCTGATTTTGTTTTATGTTGTTGTTATTGTTTTTCATCGTCGCCGCCGTCAGTAGGAGGCAGACGTTTTCATGTTTGAAGAATAAAAACTGTATAAAATTTTCTGGGGGGGTTAGTTATCATCCTCTTTTTTCCTTCTTGATTTTCTTTGTGTATTTTTGTTGTTGTTGTTGCTGTTGTGCTTTCTTGTTTTATTAATTATGTATGTAGGTCATTTTATAAATACACAGCAAACACCACACATATGATATGATTTTTTTTTTTTTGCTCGCCTGTTTGGCTGCTGGCTGGCTGGCCTGGCCCCCGTTAACACGCAATCATTTTACTCTTTGGGTTTTCCAAACATAAGTAAATATTTTCTTGTCCTCTCATGCATGTTTGTTTTTTTATATGAAAGTAGAAGAATGTTGTGATTTATGTTTTTTTCAAATTTCCTTTTGTGCTTTGGCATTTCTCTTTAGGTGTATGTTTATCATCATCATCATTGCAATATTTTATATATATTGACCTTCAATTTGCCAGCTTGTAGGGTGTTGGTTTGTTTTGTTTTTGGTTTTTCCCCGTCCCATTGTTGCTGTTGTTGTTTGTGTGTGTGTGTTTTTTTAATGTTCTTGTGTCAAATTTGGCATCTAAAATAAACACATGTTCTATAAATACACAATCAAACAAACACAAGTGGCCAGTCAGCCAGCCACAATTCCTCTATTGTCGTCATTAGCATCACTTGACTTTATTATCATCCATTCATACATCTATCCATCATCTTCTTTATCAGCAGCATCATTATCTTGAGTATATTGTGGGTTCTTCTGCTGCAGTCTTTCTTCAGGTGACTACTGTGATAACTTTATTTGTTGTTTACATATGTGGCAAAACAAAAAAAAACAACAACAAACAATAGTCAAACATTTTGGCAACTTACCCCCACATAATCTGTTCTCTATCTCCCTCTCTCTCTCGCAGTGTCATAACGCCCAATTCAAATTAGAATATAAGAATGACATTCTTGTTTATTTATTTTTTTTGCATTTGATAGGTAATTCGTAAACGATATTTTATAATTTTTAATTTCCCATCATAGATATGTAAATATATATACGTTTTTTAATAACAATCATAACATATTTGTCTCTTTTTTTAATTTTCACTTTTTAATTGCTGATAAAATTCTGATAGACTTAATTATTTTTTATAGGTATTCAGTGAAAGCACATTGGTAGGTGAGGTTTCATGGTGTGGAACAAGGTGTATTTAATTAGGTGTAAGTGACAATCATATGGTTTCAA